AGAACCGTGTTGCAGGTCGATGTTATTGAAGAGTTGATCTAACCTTTGTCGATCGGTTAGGTCTCCTCGTTTAACAATCGAACGTTTTAGGATTTCGTAAGGTTCGGAAATACCACTAGTAAACATACTAGGTGTTACGTACCTGTTGAAGTCGCGCGGTAGTGCCTTGACTACTGCGAGTAATTGTGCACGTGTGTCGATCACGCCGTGCTCGGAGAAGTCGGATTCTGCGTAGCAGAACCAGGCTTCGATATTGTCGGGCCAGAAAGGCATCAGTTGAAACGAGGGCGGGGACAAAGGCTTAAGCTTGAGTACTTTGAGTGTCTGTTCAGTCATGTTGAAATATGAAAATATATACATATCGAAGAAAAATCACAATGTTTAAAAAAAATAAAAAATAAAGCAATGATATATAAAAGTCTCAAAAAGGAACAGACTCACAGTTGCAATTAGGTGTACCAGATCACGACGATCTCACCAATGAGGATGATACAGGTATTCAGTGTTTACCGACGCCTCTACCAGTAACCCCTTCTAATATACTTTGTTCCCACCGAGAGAAATCAAAAGACAGAGTCGAGGAGATCTGAAGAGTGTATTTGGCGATAACCAATATATCGGAAATCTCTGATCTAATCTGACTATCGATTGCGGTAGATGTTGAGCACAGCGTTACCACACGTGATCTGGTGCGGATGCATGACCGAGCGCCTTCAGCTAGATGAGTCCACTAAAACATATGGTCAGCATCCAATGTCGAAAACCTACAGAGCTATTTAGTTTGGGGATTTATTTACCGCTACAGGTGTTGCCAACTAGCTAATTTTGAAGTTACATCTTGAGGTTAGCACTTAACTTTACTTAGCCTTTTGTCGTATTACGGTACTATGACTGCATTGATGACCGTACAGCATGAACGGCGTTATTACAAAAATATATCAGTAAGGGTAGATGTAAGGAACAGAGTGGTCACCACCGCGTGGGTAGCCCATAGCGTGCAATTAGTTGTTCTTGACCTTGACAGGGACCAGTGAACTGTACCACACACATTGACGATGATTTTGCTAGGGCCCAATTCCCATTTCAATGACCCTACATGGTTATTATTATTAGTTTAGTGTTCAAAGTTTGATTACACTCCTGCCTGAATTGTTACTTAGAGAGGTTTCGGCAAGGTTTCATAATATCGAGTTTTCGCGCTATAACTCGTGTTGTACGGCTCATGTTCATCATCTAAGTTTCCGAAGTGCATCATGCTCAAAGAATTAAATAATACAATCCGTGTATGCTGTGACCCAGACATTCCTAAGCAACGCAAGAGATGAAGGAAATAAGCGTGATTGACTGTTCAAAGGAAGGGTGTGCTAAATGCGCTTTCGATCTGTAATTGAATACTGGTTCCCGTTTTTATACTAGTTTCTGGTAAACATTTATACTGAATTAACTTTCCTATCTTATTTCCAGCTAGCTTCGCAAGTGTTCACAGACCTAATGGGAACAATTCCTGAGAAAAAGAAGTTATTTATTAATGGATCATTTGTGCTAGATCCAAACTTTAATAAACGTTTTCATTTATAACGCACCAGTCTCTAAATTACGGCAATTCTTATCTATCGTGACAGGTCGAAATTCGAACTACTAGTATGGTACATCATGTTCAAGGTAGCAGTATTTGGTAAACGGTAAGTATGACTAATAGCGTGTGCGCCAAACTGGTAATTATTACACAAGAACGCGAAACAACATCCCTGTCTCACAGCCACATAAGACTGCACAGTACACTCCCTGCCGTTACGCTATAAGAATAAGTCAATGGCCATATAAATGAATTTATGTAAAACTAAAAAGATTACAATATTAGAACTTCTTGTTAGCATTCTGGCGATATCGTCCTTGGTAAGCTGTTTATTGAACTTCAAAGAAACCAGATACCGTAAGCTACGAGTTGGTGTATTACTCAGTAGAAACGTTCTGAAATACAAGCGTTCACTTGAGGTCAACTGTCGTTTCGATGGATCGACAGAAATATATCCTTCTGTGCAAGGATGGTTGTGCATTGTTTTAACAGAGGTGACTTTCAGCTCACCATTTACTGCCCGGACCCAAAATCCTGATTGACAGTGGCAATATTTCGACCTGAAGGATAAATTCATTTGAAGTAAGGCATAAGTAGATGACCGACGTCGTCTCCTTTGCCTAGGTTGTGTTGGCGAGTTAGAAGTTGTATGCTCTTCAGAAGAATGATTATTACTATCATCATCTACATCCTGAACGCAAGCATCTGACTCTGACGAACTGCGTTTACGTCCATATGTACAGACATATCTCACGAAAAAGTACTTTAGGGTTGGATCATCACTGTTCTTTTTGCATACTGACGTAACGTACTTAGTATGCGTACACTAAAAAAATAATTATTAACCACAGAGGTCATATTACCTTATGTACTTCTTTCAAACAGGTCTCAAAATTGTTACAACTTGTAAATCTTCGAGATAACATAATATCATTGAAGATTCGTCCTATATCATGCATCTGTAGCGTGGCGTCGAGTCGGGATTGACTATGTACACCGCTACCAAAATACACGTGCCAAGAATATCAGAAGGCGTAGGTTGAGCGTAAGCAGATTTATTCGTTTGGCGATCTCGTGGTATCGAATGAATACCGAGATCGTGCCAAGAACGGTACAAGCGGAAGCAGGAGTACAGAATACGTGCGAACAGCAGCAAAAGGCGCGAAACAATAATGGAAGGTAATGGAAGCACAAAATGGCTATAATTAGCACAGTTAAACAAAAGCACATTAAAACAAACACTGGTACAACTGTTTATAATAATAATTGTTTTTATTGAACCAGTCGTGTTCTCGTAATAAACGTGAGTCACTACAGGAGCCCCCCGCTAGAAAGGGTTTACACTTTCGATTAATAACGGTTTAAATCGTGGGACTGATCGTCTGACGAGCGTTTGTAGGACGAAAGGATTGGCGAACAGGAAAGCGATTGTTGATCGTCGAGTTGCCAACGAAGGTTATTTTCGGAGAACGGTACCTGATTCGATGTGCTGTACTTGTTGATTGAGTTGGCATGCTACACGAGTGGTTTGTATCCAGAATCTGAAGATGGCGTTCGTAGGGAATCCGGACCAGAAACGCTGCAGACGTAGGACGAAACCACGTTGAGCCGAAAGACCAAAAGCGACCGCAAGGACCAAGTTCGAGACCAAGCGTGTGCCAAACATTCAAACCAATATATCGACTGAGTGCGTTGACAAGAGCGTGGGTGATCAGGCCAGCTTTCACCAAGGTTGACTGAAGTCGACGGAACCAAACTGAGGTGGTCGAAGGCGTGGGCTCAGGAAACAAAAAGAAATCAAAAAAAGAAGAGTGTAGCATGCGTGTAGTATAGGAATAATCCTACACCGTATCAGTTGTTGACTGTGCGGCTAGTCACGAAAGCGTACGGGCAACCGTACTCGGCGACCGGAACGTGAGACGGTAGTCTCGTTCGCGTCGCGTGAGCCTGCAATCTCATCCGAAGTCAAAGGCGGCGCGGTCTGCTGATCTGGACGTGAGACTGTTGTCTCGTCCGTAGACGGTGCAGATGACGCGTGCTGTTGACTGGGACGTGAGAATGAGGTCTCAGGTGTATCTAGCGTGGGACCTGAAGATGGTTTGAGGATCCCGCTAGTAGGTTTGATAGGTCTAGCATTGAATCTCAGGTTATCCGATAGGGCACTGTCATCGACGTGTGCTGGTTTGAGACGATCAATGCTGACGATTTCGACGCGGCCGTGTCGATCAACCTTGAAGGTCTTTTCATGACGAGCGATCACGCGAAAAGGGCCTTCGTAAGGTTGTTGCAAAGATTTGCGTACCGAATCTACTCGTACGAAAACATGTGAACAGGTAGATAACTCTCGAGGGAGAGCGACCTGTCGATGTTGTATTCGAGTTGACACCGGAGACAGCGTTCGCATAAATGCAGACAGTCGTTGGACGTAGTCTGATTTAGGGAAATCATGTCCGCTCCGTGGTGTGAAGAATTCCCCGGGCAGACGCAATGTCGTGCCGTATACTAGTTCAGCGGCGGAACATTGTATATCTGCCTTTAAACTCGTTCTGATACCTAAGAGAACGAGCGGTAAGGTTTCGTACCAGTCATCGTTTTCGTGTGCTCGAAGAGCGCTTTTAAGTTGACGGTGAAACCTTTCAACTAAACCATTTGAAGCTGGATGGTAGGCGGTAGTGCGTATGCGTTCCGTACCAAGCAGCCGAGTAAGTTAGGAGAATAGTGCGGACTCAAATTGTTGTCCTCGGTCGGTCGTGACAGTCGAGGGACAACCGTATAGAGCTATCCATCGTTCTACGAAGCGGTGAGCAACTGTCTCCGCCGTGATAGACGTGATGGGTATAGCTTCGGGCCATCTGGTGAAGCGATCAATGCACGTGAGTATGTGATCATACCCATGCGATGGTGGCAGTGGTCCTACAATGTCTAAGTGAACGTGATCGAAGCGAGCATCAGGCGTAGCGAAAGTGCCGAGGGGGGCGGCTACGTGCCTGTGCACTTTTGATCGTTGACATTGTAAGCATTGCTTCGCCCACATACGAACATCTTTATTCATGGACGGCCAGACGTATCGTGCAGCGATGAGACGTAATGTGGCTGCGATACCTGGGTGAGATAATCCATGCAGGGCATCGAAAACGAGACGGCGATAAGTAGAGGGTACGATGGGTCGAGGAAGGCCGGTAGAAGTATCACATAGAATGGTGCCAGAAGTCGTGGCTAAAGGTACTTCCTGATACTGAAGGGACGTGGAATGTGGTGCTTTGGTACAACTAGGATCGTTTGCTTGGGCAGCGGCCATAGCAGGGAGATCGAGCACCGGCAGAGTAACTGCATTCGTTTGGATTCGTGATAGAGCATCGGCAACACAGTTCGACTCGCCTTTGATGTGACGAAGGTCTGTCGTGAACTGAGAGATATAGTCCAAATGTCTGCACTCTCGTGGTGAGTAGCGGTCAGACTTGGTATGCAAAGCATACGTTAAGGGCTTATGGTCGGTGAATAAGATGAATTGTCGTCCTTCTACTGCGTGCCGGAAGTGTTTGATGGCGCAGTAGGCTGCTAGCAGCTCGCGACCAAAAGCGCTATATCTCGTCTCCGTGGAAGTAAGGCGTCGTGAGAAAAACTCGAGAGGTTGCCAACTACCGGAGATATTTTGTTGCATGACTGCTCCTATAGCGACATCGGATGCATCAACCGCTATGCTAAGCGTGGCTGATGGATCGGGATGTGCGAGGAGAGTGGCTTGCGCAAGAGCCATTTTGATCTCTGTGAATGCAGTACGTGCAGAATCGTTCATTTCTAATCTGCTTGGGTTGCCGCGAAGTAAGTCGGTTAGTGGTCGTAACCGTTCTGCCGCGTGTGGGATGAAACGACGGTAGAAGTTAACCAGACCGAGAAAAGCCTTCAGTTCCTTGAGTGAGGACGGCTCGTTGTACTCCTTTATTGCTTGCACTTTGTCCTCACAAGGTAGAATACCCTCTTGGTTGATAACATGACCCAGAAATATTATTTCTCGTTTAGCTAACTCGCATTTGTCTGGGTTAACTACTATTCCATTATCCGAAAGGCGTTGGAATAATAGCGTAAGATGTTGATAATGTTCATCTACGTTTGATGATGCGATTAGCAGGTCATCAATATAGACGTGAACAAAATCGAGGTCTCGTACAATGCTATCGATAAACCTTTGAAAAGTTTGAGCAGCATTCCGTAATCCAAATGGCATTCGTAGGAACTCAAACAAACCGAAAGGAGTCGTGATAGCAGTTTTTTCGATATCTTCAAGAGCGACTGGGATCTGATGATATGCTCGTACCAGATCGATCTTAGAAAAGATAGTCGTGCCCTTGAGCGATGCTGTGATGTCGTGTATGTGGGGGATGGGGTAGCTATCAAAGCGCGTAACTACGTTTAGAGCTCGGTAGTCGCCGCATGGTCTCCAACTAACCCCATCTTTTTTTCGCACCATGTGAAGAGGAGAGGCCCATGGACTGTGAGAAGGACGAATAATACCAGTAGCTAGTAAATTGTCAAACTCACGCTTAGCAAAAGCTAATTTGTCCGGTGCCAGTCGGCGAGGTCGTGCCGTGACTGGCGGTCCGCGGGTGACTATGTGGTGTACCACACGATTGGTCACCGATGGAAGCTCCTCGAGTGGTTTAGTGAGTATGGGGAATTTCTCGAATAAAGCGTGGAATTTATCGTCACGCGAGTAAAAAGTGCCGAGGATTCGGTACGCGTTCATGTGGGCTTTACAGCCCATGAATTTATTGTTCGACGAAGTATCGATCAGCTGCAGCCTACGTGAATCGACAAGCAATTCATAGTGCTGTAGGAAATCGATACCTAGTATGGCTGTGGGAACATCAGCAATGATGAACGTCCACAGATACCGTCGTCGGTTGCCCAGGTTGACCACGAGTTGTCGTGTACCGTAGGTAGGAATGACTGAGCCATTCGCAGCGCGTAGTCGAAGCACTGTGGCTTGTGACTTGCTGCTACCTCGTGGTACGACAGAAACTTGGGCCCCAGTGTCTACCAGGAACCTAGCGTTTGTGCGGTAATCGTGCACATAGAATAGGCGACCAACCTGGGGTGAAGGGCCGGCGAGTACGGCCGCTTTTACTCGCCGGCGCTGGCGTTTCCCGCCTTGTATGAGCATGGGGCTCGACAACGGCGGGCGCCAGACCCGAAGGACCTATGAAACCAGCACCAACCGTCACTCGCTTCCGAAACCGCCTTTCGGCGTGGCTTGGAAGATGCCCTTTTTGGGCGAGTGGTGACGGGTTTGCGAGAACTTGATCGGGCTCGGGGGACGTAGGGTTGGGGTACGTTACAACGGTCTTGAAAACTAAGACGCGTGTGGATACACCCGTCCCTGTCGCCATGAGCTGAGGAATGACTGGCGTCCCTGTCTACCTTAGGACGTGCCGTTGAGGCAACAACATAGCTGTCTTTAATACAAGTCCTCGCCAAGATTTTGTCTGCTATGAGGGCCACCTGGTTAAGCGGTGTGTCCTCGAGCAGTGCCGTCACGGTAGGTTGGATGTGGGCTGGTAGTGACTCGAGCCACAATTCTTTAACTATTTCCGAGTCAGATGCTGTTGATCCTGCAAGAGATTGCAGGCGCGTGAGGTGGTGGCTAGGTTTAGCATCACCCAAGGGGTGACGTGCTAATAATGTCCTCAATCGTTCCTCCCTTGATGGGAGGAAATGTCGGAGAATTGCCTCTTTGAGGCGATCGTAAACATTTGGCACGTTGGAATTGAGGACGACCTCACGAACAGCTACTAAGTGGTCCCCGGGTAAAGATTCGAGAGCGAAGGCGTATTTTTGCCTTTGGCTCGTAATGCGACGAGTCTCAAACTGGGACTCTAATGCAGCGAACCAAACCTCTGGGTCGTGGGGAATGAATGGTACAGGTCGAAAGTGAATGGCCTGTACGTCTGAGTCTATAACATTAATAGTACTTTTGTCGCTATCCGTCATGTCGTGTATATTATATATTAAAAATTAATATGAAAATATACGACAGACGTGGATAGATAAACTATAGACTCACCGAATTGGCTTCTTTGGAAGATTTCACCAGAGGTTGAGGCGTGTTCCAAACTTTGGGATCACCAATTGTAGCGTGGCGTCGAGTCGGGATTGACTATGTACACCGCTACCAAAATACACGTGCCAAGAATATCAGAAGGCGTAGGTTGAGCGTAAGCAGATTTATTCGTTTGGCGATCTCGTGGTATCGAATGAATACCGAGATCGTGCCAAGAACGGTACAAGCGGAAGCAGGAGTACAGAATACGTGCGAACAGCAGCAAAAGGCGCGAAACAATAATGGAAGGTAATGGAAGCACAAAATGGCTATAATTAGCACAGTTAAACAAAAGCACATTAAAACAAACACTGGTACAACTGTTTATAATAATAATTGTTTTTATTGAACCAGTCGTGTTCTCGTAATAAACGTGAGTCACTACACATCATCACAACGGAATCGTCTTCGTTACTTGAAGAATGAACGTTATCAGACACAGTGTGGCTGAACTCAATTCAAATCTAAAGATGTCTTGATTTGACCGCTTCTGAAAATTTTCACGAATTGTCGATGTGACGCACCAATCATTTTGCGACAGTTTGACCTTCAAGTGCTCGCAACCCCCAACAGTGGACGATACTCTAGGAGCGTTGCCTTGCAGCACACACTACTGCGGTAAGTTTGACTTTTAGTCTCGTGACATTAGGTAACACGGTAAGATAGAGACGAACTTTGATTTGAAATTACTGATTAATTGATTGGTTAGATCAATACGTTTAGTTGTACAGTTTCAGTTAGCTGCTAATTGAGCTGGGAATATACACACATCTCAACGAGGGTTTTACTCAAACGGCGAATAGACATCACGACAACCCTTGTATATATCCGTGTGTTTGCCTGCGGCGACCAAGTTGCCCATTCTCGTAGTATTATAGTACCGTCAGCTAATTTATTAATGATCCCAATCTCCCACTTTTGAGGAAGCCGCAATAGAAATCTTTGAGGAAATGGCACAAATTTTCCTCAAGCTTTGGGTATAACTACCAAATTTCTTACGACTCTGAGGAGAACCCCAAAATAGGAAGATTGTGGTATGTCTAATTAGAACCTAAACTATTGACAGAGGCGCTTGTATGATAATCATATTCAGTACCTGTGCACGGATGAGCGTATACCCATTGTTTCGCATGGAGTGAATCGTTTTTGTCTCATCAAGGTAGAAATACAATAAATCCTGTGTTCCAATATATACAACCTATCCTTGTTGATCATCATTGGGGTTCTTGTTATCTATGTAGTAAAAATTGTTACCCGCACTTAATTTATAAATAATTGGATTTTATTTGAGCTTGCTCTTTTGGATAAAGCAGGATTTTTCTGAGTAAATAAAGTTAATCTAGTGAGTAAATCATCAAACTTGTGTTTGACTAAAAACCTGGAGTAACAGTTTTGATTAGGAGATTATTGATCGCCGCTTACCCTTCAAGATAATTGCTTATCAACATTTACCGAAACACTTCTCTGGCTTAATGGGAAGACGGCTTCGTGGTAAAAACCCATGTTAGCTGCGCTGATTTTATTTTGAAGAATTTTTGCAGATACCCTCGTAAAGCTGTATGAGAAATTTGCTTTATCTCAACTAGTTATAACAGTTATATGTTCAAAATCTGCCTTAGTAAATTCTTAACCTGGTTTTCTGTAGATATTCTGTATTAGTTGGGCAACATTTATGAGTCTGAACTCGTACTTTTAAGTGTCACTTTAAACTGGACGAATGGTTACAAAAATATCACCAACATCACAGCTTATCTGTACAGTGACATCTCCGGATACGTCACTCAGCAACAACGTAAAACTTTGTACGTACGTACATCAGTTCAAGTTGCCATACCACAGCACAGTGATACAATTTTCGATTCAAATCCCATAATGGTAGATGTAGTAAAAGTATAAGCAGCAATCGGGAAGATGAAGGTTTGAAGATGTTATTCAAGGAGTATAATCCAATGGAATAAATTTGGAAAGAGGAAAAAAGGACATGAAGAATTCAGGAGATTAGAATTTGGGAGAACACAAAAGGTGGATGCACCTGCGCCATTGCAAACAATTTTGAGCCATGTCATTCAAGGTCTGTGACCATCGGTTGCAATCAACTCACGGATCCCAACCAGGTGGTCTACACCTACCGTCATGACTCAGTCCACTTGTCAGTGACTTCATGGATTTGTGCCATGTTTTGGTCTGATCTCCCATAGCTTTCTTCCAACCGTAGCTGCTACCTTGACGTGATGGTCTTGCTCGCCTATGGTGATGACCCAACCGAGCCATATTGGCTGTAGGTCCGACCATGTCAGGCAAGTCGACTGGAGAACGGTAAGACTAAAAGTAACAACTCAAGGTCTGAGGGCGAAGTCGTACTGTTGACAGTAGAGAGGTGTGACAGCAGTAAGTGGTTCCCTCGGACAACCAGCATCTGCAGCGATGCTGCTTTGTCAAAAGGAAGAAAGGGATTAGAAAAGGTCGACCCTAAAAATGCTACACTCCGTGGATTTTTGTCTCCGGCGGTTAGGCCTTATGAAAAACGGAGCTATCACGTTAAAAACTTCCCACATAAAGGCTGTGCGTGACTGGCCTCAAGCAGTTGTCCCTTAGGCTGTGCAGTCACGCTCCCAGGTCATTAAGACCAACGCTAATCCATCTTTGGATAGTGATTTTCCCTAACGTTTGTATTTGTTACAGGTTGCAAAGCCTTAGAATGACTTTCTCCAGACAAATGTATTCCATTAACCTATTACGGACAAGTTGGCTGTATTATTGTGTTAGCAATCGGTACTCAGTAGTTCCAGTCACTGGATTATCCGAATCATCAGTAGCTAGTGACCAGGAATCTGAAACTAATTCCAACAAACTTAAATCCCTCAATTTCTCCGTGAATTCAGTTACGTTACTCGGGACTGTCATCGGAATAAAAGTAAGCTACCAATTCTATTGAGGAGATACTGTATTTTATGATAAATGAACTTACTAACAATTAGCTCTATTCATCCTTACAATATTTCACTGTCTCATCTACTAGTCGTTACTTTTATATTTTATTAAACACTTGAATGTCACTTTCTGCCAGTCATACATCTGTTAATACTAATCTCTCTCATATATATATATATATATATATATATATATATATATATATATATATATATATATATATATATATATATATATATATATATATATAACTGTAGTCAAATAAATTTTGATTAACATCGCTTGTTTAATAGTTCTATGTTAGACAAACCTTTCATCTGTATAACTGTGGCGTATCCGATGCTCACCCAGAACGGAAGTTTGTAATCACAGGCTCCAATTCAAATATCACAAGATTGATTAATTCGTGGAAAAATGTAAGTCCCAAATGTCATTCAAATCAAAAACCACTTTTCGTGTATCCTGGGATTAAGCGTCATAAATTACCACGCCCAAATTACGTACGTTCTGCCTTCCTGTCTATAAAAGTGAGTTTTTTGGGAATTAGTGTTTCAACATCCTGGGGTGAGTCTGTAGTCGTCCATGACTTTAAAAAAGTCACTTCACCTAAGCAAAAACCATCGGTTCATAAGTCCGCTTCCGATTGCATCCAAATATTGGCTTTCATCATGCTTTGGAGATTGTTCCAAATCCGTGAAAAATAGATTTGCGAGGAACAAGCCGGTTTTCGTTCAGATCAAGGATGTATTGGTGATATCTTCAGCCTTCACAAAATGTTCAAACACCTCCACACTTACTGGAGGCCAACAGTTTTAGTGTTTCTTGGTTTCGAGTTCTACTCATTAGACAGGACTGTTCTCTGGGATCGCCTGTTCAAGAAGGGTGTGTCTGAGTTTATCAACAACTTGGGGAGTATCACAACCCTCACACATACCAAATGAGATTTGTGTGGCGCATATGTACTTGGTGCCTCCTTGTACCAATATCTATGTTTTAAAATAATAATAATAAATAAATAATGAAAGCCGGAGCGGTTTATAGTAATTTGGGCCATCTTTGGCGTCTTCGCGATGTCGGTCTGGTTATTAGATGTCAGATCTACAACTAGTCGTTAAGAGCAGTTTCGCTCCGTGCTTGTAAAGTCTGACCTCTCCGGAATGAGGATGTTAAGTGACTGCGTGATTGATCATCGTTGTCTCAAATGGATTCAGCGGTAACATCATGGTGGCAATGCGGACTTACGAGGATAATGACAATAATTGAATTGGAGTCATCTTGAAACGCCGATTTCTATAGCTTGTACATGTACTACAAATGTCCCAGCGAATTGCCATATGGTGCATTATTTGCTGACGCTGTAGCCAGTTGGAAAAAGCGGAAAGGTGGTTAGTGTTTGACATGGTATTTTTATGAAAAGAAACTGCAGGACTCGCATCTCTTGACACTTTACGACTCTCTGATTGGAGTTTAAAAAATAGTGCAACACACTGGTTTGAGTCATTACCAGACATGACTAAGAATAGAACCCTGTGAAGATCCTTTTATAACCTTTTTAACTTTCTCCATATAAGTAAAAGAAACTTCTTCAACTAAAAGGATCTTTTCCGGATGTATTTTTAAAAAATTGAACTCCCATTATTATTTTCGGTTTCACACTTACTGCTCATTTCTGTTACTCCTTGTGGAGCATAGGTCACTGCCCCCAAATGCCCTGGAGCCCCCAAATGCCCTGGTACGGCCGAGAGTGGGGAGAGTCCGCTCTCCCTCTCGAAATACTCTCACACGGCCACGCGTATATAGCCTCTGCCAGGGAAGTCCTACTCACTGCCTTCTCGTGGCGGGGGTGTTGTTTACGAAAATGAGAGGACGAAAAGCGAATGTCCGGCGCTTTAACCGGATTCCAAAACAATGGTGCACATGGGCTCCAGTATCCTGCGGGAACAAATGGCGAATGAACCAATTGTTGGTCACCGGCTTCCATGGGACTGCATCTCCTTACGATGCTCCACTGCCTTGTGGATCAGACCTTTGGGTTGAAGGCTCGGGGTGTGGCCCCTTAAGATAACCACCTGCTTCGGTTTGGGCACCCGGGCAGTATCACAGCCCTCACACATATCGGATGAGATTTGTTTGGCGCATATGTATTTGGTGCCTCTTTGTACCATTATCTATGTGTTGAAATAAATAAATAAATAAATACTTACTGCTCATTTCTGTTACTCCTTGTGGAGCATAGGTCACTGATCAGAGTTCTCCATCGGACTCTGTAATGGGAGTACTTTCCAGTAGCTATTCATCCTTCTGATGTCTGCTTCCAGTTCCCGGCGCAGTGTTCTCTAGTCTTCCGCTTTTTTGTTTCCCTTTAGAATTCCGAGTTATAGTCATCTTGAAACGACGTTATGTAATAATCGGCTGGTGAAAAAGTTGCAAAGTGACAATAATTGTCTACTTTGTAGCTATTAAGGACAGAATAATTAAGGGTTGTACTTACTAATTTACGCCTGTTACCCCTCGTGGAGGTGCACAGGCTGCATACCAGCATTCTCTATCAAACTCTGTCCTGGGAAATACTTCCCAGTTATTTACAGTTGTTATTCATCCTTCGGATGTCTGCTTCCAGTTCCCAGCCCAATATGTTCTCTAGTCTTCGGCTTTTTCGTTTCCCTTTAGGATTCCAAGTTAGGGCTTGCCTCGTGATGCAGTTTGATGATTTCCGCAGTGTATTACCTATCCGCTACAAGTGTGTTTACTTAATTTCCTCTTTAACTGAATGCTGGTTTGCTCTCTCTCTCTCTCACACACACACAGTAGGCTGTTGCTGATGGCATCCGGCCAACGAACATCGAGTATCTTGCGTAGACAATTGTTTACAAATACTTGTACTTTTTTTGATCCCGACCGTTGTTGCTACCTTGATGTGGTGGTCGGGCTTGCCTATCGTGATGAAGCAACCGAGCTATACTGGCTGGAACAACCGTTCCTCAAGGTCCTACTATGTCAGACAGGTCGGTTGAAGAGCGGTAAGACTAAAAGCAACAAACCTAAGGTCCGAAGGTGAAGTCGTACTGCTGACTGTACAGAGGTGTGACAGCAGTAAGGTGTTTCCTTCAGACAACCAGCATGACAGCGATGCTGCCTTCCCACAAGGAGGGGTGGGGTTAGAAAAGGTCGACCCTAAAAATGCACAGCTCACCTTACCTCACGGATTTCCGTCTCCGGCGGTAAGGCCCTTTGAAGAACGGAGCTAACATGTCAAAAACCTTCCACGAAAAGGCCGTGCGCGACCGGCCTCAAGCAGTTGTCCCTTGGGCACTGTGGTCACGCTCTCAGGTCGCTGAGACCACCTCTAATCCAATTTCCTTTTCAGGTACCTCCAGAAGAACCCTTCCACGGTGTGGGCAACCGGGAAGTGATAACCGCCCTCATACCTCTAACAGCACCCAAGACCATTGTATTCATAATCAACCTTCCTCTTCAATTCCTATTATTCCTCCTACATCGACTTTCAACCCTAAACTTCCTTCTTCGGCTTCCTCCTCAAGTGTCACCATAGCCAACGATTCTAGTGCTCAAAATTCTGTCCCAGGTCTACTGAAACCTCGCTCCAAACTACACATTGGAGCTTTAAACGTACGCACTCTATGTCAAATCGGTCAGCAGGCTTCCTTGGCTAAAACCCTAGAGTCTCTTTCCATTGATGTATGCTGTGTCTCCGAAACACGCATACAGGATTCCAGTGTGGTCATTCACTTGACCTCACCTCGGCAAAACGGAGAGCCAACGAGATACACCCTACGTGTATCTGGTGACCCGATGGCCAGTTCTCGTGGACTGGCAGGTGTAGGCATAGCACTAAGCATGAGGGCGGAACAAGCACTGCTAGAGTGGATCCCCGTCAACAGTCGTCTATGTGCTGTTCGGCTAAACGGCTCCGTAAGAACTCGGAAGGATAGGGACACACGTCGTTGCCTTTTTGTCGTTTCTGCCTACGCTCCCACTGACTGCAGCTCAGATGATATGAAAGATGAATTTTACAGAAAGTTATCTGAACTTCTTCAGAAAGCTAAACGCTCAGACATAGTACTCGTAGGGGGTGACTTTAATGCTCAGATAGGTAGCTTAAACTACACAGAAAGGCATTTAGGTGGATATTTTAGCATTCCGGCACAGCGAACAGATAATGGTGACCGTCTGCTGCAACTGTGCTCAGACAATCGCTTATTTTTAGCAAACACAAATTTTAAGCATAAGGAAAGACATCGTCTAACATGGCGACTCCCTACACCACACCAACGATGGACTCAAATAGACCATATTGCCATCAGTCATCGTTGGAGAGGGTCGGTAGAAGATTGTCGCTCATTCTGGAGTACCTGTTTGGACTCCGACCACGCCCTAATACGGGCACGCATCTGCTTGCACCTCACCGAACGCAAAAAAGCCACATTGAAAAGACCCATTAGAACTAAGTTGAGTAACGAGAAAACCAAAAATAGGTTCCAAGAACAACTAAGTTCACACTTAGGTAGTTCTGAAGGCGAGGCTGACCCAGATGTTGCTTGGAAAGACATACAAGCAGCTGTGGAAGCAGCAGTGACATCTATTAGCGACTTAAACCACAGAGTTTCAAAGAACCAGTGGATTTCTTCAAAGTCTATCACACTGATGGATTCTCGCAAACTCGTCCCATCAGGTTCCGAACATGATGAAGAGCGACAACAAATCAGATCTAGGTTAAGAAAAAGTTTAAGAAACGACCGTGAGCAGTGGTGGGCAACGAAAGCAAAAGAGATGGAAAAGGCGGCGACTATAGGGAACACAAGACAACTTTACAGACTAATAAAAGAAACTGGAATTAATAAGTCAAGTGTAAGTGAGATTATATCGGAAAAAGACGATACTCTCATCTATTCCCAGTCCAGACGTTTAGAACGATGGGCGGAACACTTTAGGGAACAGTTCAGCTGGCCTTCAGCTACTCTA